TTGAAAAACAAATTTTCTTTAACTCCTTAGCAACAGGGAGTGAGTTTTATTATTTAACTATATGACTATTTGAGTGGATCTCTTAAATTTTGAGAGCTGAATATTTTTAAAAGGGGGCTAGGAATAGCAGAAAAGGTTCTCATGTAAATCTTTTAAAATGTCATAAAATTGAAATAAGTGATATAAGCTTACAAAGTAGACATGACTGCATTTTATCTTATTTGCATGCCCCCCCCCCATGCTAAAAATTCAGATAAACAATAGAACTATTAAGGGGATTTGGTGAGATAACTGTATTCAAGGAGAAAATCTGTAAGGTAAGGCAATAATTTTTCTTTCTATCAGCAATAATCATTTGGTAACACACACACACACACACACACACACACACACACACACACACGAGATGTTTATTGAAACTTGATTACCAATTGGGAAAAGTAGGATATAACTTGACAGGGGAATGGTTGAATAAAAAAGGTTAATAGTCCTATAAAAGAATGAATTATATTGATATCTATCAATGTAGAAAGATACCCATGATATATGTTTGAGTGAGATATATCATATCTATATATATAAAAGCCTAAGCGACCAGTCAACTGGTTGCTATGATGTGCAGTGACCACCAGGGGGCAGACACTCAATGCAAGAGCTGTCCCCTGGTGGTCAGTGTACTCCCACAGCCAACCTCCCTTGCTCTCTCCCCACAGCCACTGGCCCCGATGGGGACTGGGCAAGATGGCCCTGATCAGCTCCGATTGCTGGCCAGGCCGAGGGACCCCACCAATGCACGAATTCATGTACCAGGCCTCTAGTAGAGACATAAAGAGGCTGAAAAGACTTTAGAAACGACTGATAAAGCTGAGAACTGGTTTGTTTTTTAACCCTTTGAGTGCCAACCAGTATCCTAGGAACTATGCTAAAATTGCCAAGGCATTTTAGCTGATTTTACAACAGTTTAGGAAAAAAATTATGAATCACAAGTAAATGAAGTTACATATTCAAAAACTTAAGGAAACCTTTACTACATTGACATATTTAGCAATATCATCATCCCCAATAAAAGCAGACTTAGAACTGGACGCCATTTCGAAACTTTGATAGCGGTCCCGGCACTTTTGGCAAAAGACAGGAGGAGCGTGATTGCGCTCCCCGGCACTCTAGGGGTTAAGGTAAACAAAATTGTCAAACCTTTAGCTAGACTCACTAGAGGGGCAGGGTGGCGGGGGGGGGGGGCGGCAAATAAAATCAGATATTACAGCTGACACCGCAGATACAAAGGATCATAAGACACTACCACAATGAGCCCTGCCTGGTGTGGCTCAGTTGACTGGAGCATATCCTGTACACCAAAAGGTCACAGGTTTGGTTCCCACTCAGGGCACATACCCAGGTTGCAGGTTTGATCCCAGGTCAGGGTGCCTATAGGAGGCAACCAGTGAGCTTTCTCTCCCTAAAATCAATAAAAACATATCCTCAAGTGAGGAATTTTAAAAATCACACAAAGAGATATCACCTCACACCTGTTATAATGAAAGACAAGAATTATGTGATGGCAAAGATATGAAGTAAAGGGAACCCTATGTACTGTTGGTGGGAATGTAAATTGGTGCAGCCGTTGTGGAAAAATATATGGAGGCTTCTCAAAAAATTAAAAATAGAACTACCCTAGGATCCAGCAATTTCACTTCTGGGTATTTATTTATCTAAAGAAAACAAAACCACTAACTCCAAAAGATAGATGCACCCCTGTGTTCCTTGAAGCATTACTGACAATAGCCAAGCTATGGAAACAATGTGTCTATCAATGGATGAGTGGATATAAAGAAAATGTGATTTATGTATGTAGTGAAATTTGGCCATAGAAAGAATAAAATTCTGAAATTTGCAAGAACATGGGTGGACCTTGAGGGCATTATGCTAGGTGAAATAATTCAGACAGACAAATAGCATATGATCTCACTTATCCTATGTAATAAAAGCCTAATATGCAAATCGACCAGTCGCTATGATGTGCATTGACCACCGGGGGCAGATGCTTAACGCAGGAGCTTCCCCCCGGTGGTCAGTGCGCTCCCACAGGGGGAGTGCCGCTCAGCCAGAAGCTGGGTTCACGGCTGGCAAGTGCAGCGGCAGTGGCGGGAGCCTCTCCCACCTCCACCGCAGGAGGGCAGTAAGGAGTGAGGGGTCCCAGACTTTGAGAGCCCCGGACTGTGAGAGGGCGCAGGCCAGGCTGAGGGATCCCCCCCCCCAAGTGCATGAATTTCATGCACTGGGCCTCTAGTATGTCAAATAAAAGAAAAACAACAAAGAACAGATTGGTGATTGCCAGAGACAGGGACATGGAGGGTAAAGGGGGTAAAAAAAAAAAAACAAGCAAACACACAAGCAAACAAAAAAGAGTTATACCTGCCCTAACCGGTTTGGCTCAGTGGCAGCTGATTGATGTTTCCCTTCATCGATGTTTCTAACTCTCTATTCCTCTCCCTTCCTCTCTGTAAAAAAAAATCAATAAAATATATATATTTTTAAAAAGAGTTATACCTATATATATTGACATAGAAAAATACTCATGTCCTTGAGTGACAAAACCTGTAGTAGAAAAATGTATACACTGTAATCTCATTTCATTAATGAGAGAGAACTCTTGAGTTCTCTGTGTATTATGAACATGAAGCGATATACCTAGAACTCTTAATTAGGGTTACCTCAAGTTAGCCTCTCCTCAAGTCCACATAATGCCAACGCTAAAATAAAATATCCAACCATAAAATTAAAGGCAAAAAGGAAAACCCAAAGCATAATTACTAAAGTGGAAAAAAGGACCACGGAATTGCATTTTCTAAAAAATTAGGAATGCAAAAGAAAGAAAGCTTTAAAAGTTCCTCTGAATAAACAATGCCAGATGCTTAAAGAAAAAAAATCTTTAGGAAAAATGCATTATAATTTTAGTGTCAGACTACTTACAAATATTGATGGAACCAGAGAAACAATGACTGTCCTAGTATGTACTGTGTAAAATCCAAGTTTTTAGAAATGAAAACAGAATGGACCAATAGTGCAAAAAGAAAGAAGAAAGAAAGAGAGAAGAAAAAAGAAAAGAACGCAATGAAGGAAGGAAGAAAGAAAAGTGATTGACCTAGGAAACAGTCTCAGAGACCTAACCTATTCACTCCAAGAAGTCCAAAGCCGGCAGGCTATAAATAGGAAAGTCATAGGCAATGGTATAACACAAGAAGGCTAGCTTACAGTGGCTCTCTTGCTGCCACTCCTCCCCTCTGGCATCCCAGCCCACTCCCAGGACAGTGTCGCCTTTCTATCCCAGCAGTCTCTCCCTCTGAGCCAAGATAAGGTTCACAGGTTTCCTTAACCTAGCACTTCGGGCAGCCTCTACCAAACTCCCCCTACTGCAACGGCAATGGAAGATGAAAACAACCTGTCGTTTCTTCAGTAGAAGAGGGTCCAAGATAGGAATTGCAGCCTAAAAACGGAAAAGGCTCATGGGGCCTTTTCCAGGTGTAACATTCAAGAGGAAGACATTTACATGCAGACTTGCTAAATCCCTGAACTTTAGAAATAAAGAATGATGGCTTCGGGCAACTACAGAGGAAGTTAATATTTCAGGCCATCAGAGATAAGAATAGCTGGAGAGCATCCTATTAAAGCACTGAAAAGAATTAAATGCACTGGACCTGCAGGAATTTCCCAAGGCAACCTCATCATTACCCAAGGGGCATTTGACTGGGATCAGCTAAAGCTGCTTGAAAATAAAATAAGTTAGCAATAGGGGAATCATTGATGTATGGTAAAGTTTAATTACTTTGTATGACAGCCTCTAAAAATGAGGGGAAAAGATACTTTAAAGACGTTTCAGAGTGTCAGTTCTATTAATCCTGAACGAGGTGTGGAGGGCAACTTGGGTGGATCTAATAGCAGATAATGTATTTCTTGTTAGAGAGTCTAAAGTTCTTTCTAATAGACACGCATAAGAATTTAGACAAATAAAGGCAAAGCACAATCTAATTATTTTAAGTATTAAGCGGTTATATCATTGCATACAATAACCATTGATTTTAAAACATACCATTATATATAAGTACCACCCAAAAAGAGAAAAAAGAAAAACCCTATGCAAAGCTTTGTTACTACTTAGAATTTTTATTTTCTGTTTTGAAACTGCTCTTGTCGGCTTATTGAGACATGGGAGTGGCCACACTAGCAGAGCTACAAACAAACGCACACATGTGGAAGCGTGAAAACTCACATCTTCTACCTGCCTGACTGCACTTGTAGAGTGCCACCAATTTTAAGACAGAACCTGGTTTCAGGGTTGTTAAAATCTTTAAAAAAAAAAAAAAAAAAGGTGTGCCTTAGAATTGATGAACTAGGACATGCCAAATAAGTAACTTTCCAAGAGGGTTTTAAAGGAAAGAAGGTACTTAAAACAGATAACTATGACTCAGCATGACACATATTATACTACGGGGATGTACAAAACGTCCTGAATAAGGACTTGCCCAGGGGAAGCACAGAAGGCTTTCCAGGTAGAGAAGGCAGAATGGAAAAGAGGAGGGAGAACCCCCAGAAAGATAGGGAAAAAAAAGAGCTCAAATATGACAGACTGGGTTAAAGGCCCCACTTCTAAGGTCCTGGGCTCTTATAATTTGGGGATTCAAGGTCTTCACCTACTGGCCCCCCCAGAGCCACTGTCAGACAAGGAGGGGAGAGCAGTGTCCCTCATCTACAGGCATACCTCAGGGATCCTGTGGGTTTGGTTCCAGATCCCTGCAATAAAATGAGTCATCATCTTTTTGCTGGGGCTGGCCTTCAATTTGTAAAAAACACAACGTCTCTGAAGAGCAATAAAGCAAAGTGCAATAAAACGAGGTATGCATGTGTATGATGAGCGAGCGAGTGGATGTGTGAGGGCATGCATATGAGTTGGGGTTGTCTGTGGCCAAAGATCACAGCTGTTCTCTTTTCCTGTGTCGCCCCAGAGAAACTGGAGAGTGAGAAGCTGAATGTAGCCGAGGTCACCCAGTCAGAGATTGCGCAGAAGCAAAAGCTGCAGACTGTCCTGGAGAAGATCAATGAAACCCTGAAACTTCCTCCCAGAAGCATCAAGTGGAATGTAGACTGTGAGTGTTACCAAGAGAAAGGGCTCTGGTGAATGATGCCTGTGGTCTGTACCAGGAGGTTTCCCCAAGAAGCCAGCCAGGAAGCTGGCCGGCCCGGTGTGGGTGCAGGCCCATTCATCTTACTGAGGAGGGACACATCTCCCACACAGAGGACTCTCTGGGACAAGTGATGTTAAAATCCAGGGTGCCTTTTCTGTAGGCGCTCGTGTAAGATGGGGAGAGGAAGGACACTTGTGTTCATTGAGCTACTTCCGTGTCCCAGCACGACCTTCTGAGAACACTCTTCTAAGGGCTTCAGGAAGCAGAGATCCTTAAGTGCAGGCAACTGAGAAGCTGGGGTGGGGGTGGGTAAGGGCATGGCTCTAGAACAGCCGTGGGCAAACTACGGCCCGTGGGCTGGATCCCGCCCATTTGAAATGAATAAAACTAAAAAAAAAAGAGAGAGACCGTACCCTTTTATGTAATGATGTTTACTTTGAATTTATATTAGTTCACACAAACACTCCATCCATGCTTTTGTTCCAGCCCTCCGGTCCAGTTTAAGAACCCATTGTGGCCCTGAGTCAAAAAGTTTGCCCACGCTGCTCTAGAACAATACCCACAGCCTTCCTCTCCATCACTCATTTTCCAGAAGAGAAGATATGGCTGACATTGTAGACATTGGAACAGGATTTTTCAGTTCAGGTTTCACAGCTAGATAGGTCAAGGATCTCAGAGAGTATGAACCATTCATTCTTTTGCTGCCTCAAGGGTCTAGATGTCTAATATGGACTTAATGAGTCTTTATCAGAACCAACATTCAATCAGCAAATCGGTGACTCCAGAGTGACGTTATTTCCTGTGGGGAGTCCAGAGTTGTTTAGTTGCTTGCAATAGATAAAAGTGTGCATTTAGATTGATAACATGATTTAGATTGTGTTCTTTGCCTTTGTTTTAAGTATTAAAGGGCTCAATACTTTCCCTTAGTGAACCCAATTATAAAACCTAAAATGGACACATCCTCACCCCCCCACCCCCATAAAAACACCTTTCAAACTTAGCAAAGAAAAAGGAATCTTCACCTCTCAGCGTAGAGACCCAGTAACTGCCAGTGAGAATCTCTTCAGCATGTTTCTAACATCTGACATTGGAGGCGAGACACCAAGTACCTCCTTCAGCATAATTACACCTTTGCTCGCACAGTGTGAAAAGCCGCCTCGCACAGCACAGGGAACAGGGCATCCTCTGCCAGGGAGACATGGGTGGGGGAGGCCGTGGCTCTGGGCCCTAGATGCTGTCTGCGCTGTGTCCCGGGCGTGCTAATAGTGTTCAGTGGGGAAGGAAGGGAGGAAAAAGGAAGCTTGATCACTGGTTTGAGAAATGTACCTGCATTTTGGAAATCCACAACAGTCATAAGCATTGAAGCATAAAGTAATAAGCATCAAAGTCCTCTCATCAAGACCCCTGCTTAGTTTTTTGGTTTGTTTGTTTTTTAATCCTATTTCCCACTCCTTTGAATATGGACCATCTCCACGTACCCTTCCAAACAAAACCCTTTCTCACTTACGAGGGAACCCACCCGGGGAAAGGCTTGGACAGAAGAAGGGGACTTTTAAAAGCCACATGAGGACCACCATCATGTTCACTGTCATTTCTCATAGGGAAATGTGCATGAGTAAAGTAATTGCTCACACTGTCACTCTCGTCTGGCTATTTTCATCTTCGCCCCCTACTCTCCACATCAACGCATATTTTTACTTGATGAAGTCAGGTGCATCAGGTGTTTTGTTATTTTCATTAAGTCATACATATTTTCTGTATTCCCATGTGGTCTTCAGAGTTACTGTTTCTAATAGCCGCTCTTTCATGGGGTAGACCTCCCCAGTAACCTGAACCCTTTGGCGTTGATCCTTTCAGGACGTTTGGCAGCCTATTGCTGAAGGTCTCAGGTTGTGTCTCTTTTTGCTTTTCTTGAATTAGTCCCGTCATGGATTCCCAGAAGGGAGATAAATGACGAGGTGGGAGGGAATAATTATTTCCATGGCAGGTTCCCTAGGATGCCTCAGGGCTTCAAGAACTGCTGGGCCTGTTTACAAGCAGCCCTGGTTTCTTCCATGAGGAATGTGACAGGCACAGCCCTGGGGGAAGCTCCGTCCCTCCTGTTATCTTTCCTGGTACTTTGAGGACATTGTGTCATCTTTCCAGGCAGGATAAAGGGGGTGAGGAGAAGCACCTGTGGGGGGGGCGGGGGGAGGCTGCAATTAGGACTCAGAGACCAGAGCAGCTGACCTTTTTTCATCTGTTTTGTCTAATGGCTTTTAGAACAAAGGGTTTCTCTGCTTAAGAATAATAATAGCCGTAACTGGATAGAGCGTCGGCCTGAGGACTGAAAGGTCCCAGGTTCAATTCTGGTCAAGGGCATGTACCTTGGTTGCGGGCACATCCCCAGTAGAGGGTGTGCAGGAGGCAGCTGATCAATGTTTCTCTCTCATCGATGTTTCTAACTCTCTATCCCTGTCCCTTCCTCTCTGTAAAAAATCAATAAAATATATTTTTTTAAAAAAAGAAGAAGAAGAAAATTGCAAACCACTGGTCTAAATGAACCTTTTGCTAGTGGACAGTGTTTTCTAGATATATTACACAATAATGAACATCTTTGTACATGTAGTGTGTGTGAGAGAGAGAAACTGTATAATTATTTCTTTGAGGGGAAAAAAAATTCCCTGGACAGAGTATTCATTGAAAGGGTCTGGCATCGGCATGGTGCTTATGACATTGCTCTGTGTTGCTCACCAGACAGTCACGATGACATACACTGTCACCAGGGTGCAAGAACAAGCTTTGGGCTACAGCTTTTCTAGCATTGTGTTTTGTGATTAAAAGGGAGAAAGGTAGCAAATGCCCTACAACCCGGGGTGACTAGACTGAGGGTGTAGCAGTTCTGATCACGTGAGTGAGCACACCACCTCCGGAGCCTTCTTTTGAGGCTGTTACGACGGGTGACACTATTGACAATGCTCGGAAGCTCAGAACTGAAAACTTCTGGAAGGCGGAGTTAGAAGCAGATCTTAGCTGTTTGCTGCTTGATGGTGGTGTTGAGCTGCTGTTCGCAGTCCATGGAAAGCCTTGTGATAATAAGAAGCTCTAATGAGTTCCCAAGGAATGTCTGAATCACTTCCTTTTCTTGGTGATTTCTCAAGGCTTCTGTAGAGCAGACTCATCAATCCTAGCCCAGACAGAAGGACACCCTAACGCTGGGCCCAGGTCATGCTAAGTATGCAAAATGGGCATTTTTCTGTTCTTGCCTTGCATGACCCCTGTAATGAAGAACCGTGAGGCTGGTAGGACTGTGAAGACAGGTAAAGTATCTGGGGCATCGTCCCTTTCATGAGAAACAAAGGGGAGAAAGTGCTTTAATTGCCTAGATGCGAGGCACTTTCTCAGATTATAATAAAAAGTATCTGCTACGGGCTAGGAGCTTTGCTTACATCATCTCTGGAAGTGCTTTACAAGCGGTATTTCTGCACAGGCACAGCTATCCCCACTGTGAAGATGAGCAGATTGAGGCTCCGAGTCCTTGAGTGGCCTCCCAGAGGTCTTGTCGGCAGTAAATAAATGGTAGAGTTGTCAAGTCAGAACTCAAGCTCCAGCCTGCACAACTGTGTGTGCACCCCATTACATCACCGTACTTTTCTCCTCAGATCTATTGAGAAAACTATAACCCAATAGTTGCCCAGATTTCTCTAGTATAAATGGCTTAGCATCTAGCACATCGCTCTGTAGCTACAGAAGCCAGCTGGTCCTGAACACTTCCTCGCAGCTATTCCCCAAGGGGCACTGCCTACACTGACCATACCTAACACTCAAGAGAGCAACAAAGCCCTTTTGATATCTGTCATGCTTTCTTCCAGGAATCTAGAGCCCTCATCAAAGGGGGAGGGGTCCAGCGTTCCTGACTCAGTGTCCATGTATGGAGAGCCTGCTTCGGGTAGATCCTTGGGAGAAGGGTAGTGGTGATCATCCAAAGGGCTCACAGTCAAGTGGGAAGGGAAGGAGGGTGCAAAGCAGACACACCCAGGGTTGTTAAAATAGAGTGAACAAAGACATGGAGGTGATGGAGAGCTGATCTGAACTCAGAATTCAGCCACTGTCAGGGTCTCTGTGGGAGCCTTGGATCAAAGCAGAGGGCACGGCCTTGGAAATCCAGCAATGGCATGATCTAAGAAGCTAGCTCCTTGGGACCTGGCCAAGAATGAGGCGGCCCAGGGTGAGGCTTGCGATGACCAAGGGTGTCCCCTGATCCTCAGGGGTGGGATTACAGGGGCAGTGGATGTGATACATTTCGAATATCTGCTTGTATCTGCCTAGAACCTAGAAGAAGATTCTCTAACTTTTTACATCATCTTTTATTTCAGCTGTTCATGCCAAGAGCCTGGTAGCCATCCTGCACCTGCTGGTTGCTCTGTCCCAGTATTTCAGGGCCCCAATCCGACTGCCAGACCATGTTTCCATCCAAGTGGTTGTGGTCCAGGTAAGACAGATACCATGCGTGCCAAGGGTGGGAGAGTGTGTGCTTGTATATGGAATGCCTTAGGTGGGCAGGTACCTGGGGTTTGCATGTTTTTGTCAGGAGGGTGTCTGTGTAATGTATATCTGAGGGTGTATGGTGTGTATGTTTGTGAGGTGTGTCTAAAAGGATAAGGAGGAAAGAGGTGTGTATGTGTGTGTATGTATGTGTGTGCATGCGTGTGTATGTGTGTGTGTGCATGCACACCCTGTAAACCATAGAGAATCATCTTTTGGGTAAACAGTGGTGCACAGGTATGGGGAGGAGACAGACGTGAGGGCACGTGTGCATGTGTATGCGTGTGTTTGAGAGACCTGACTGGCCAGGCCTGGATTGAGGACACTGCCCCTTTTCACCCGCCCCAAGCAGCACAGATGGGCTCTCAAGTCATCTTTTCCAGATCGTTGGATGGAATTTCCATTCACATGGCTGTGTAATTTCCACAATGAGGGTGTGCACTCTCCCTGTGACTATCTCATTCTACCCCTAACCCCATTAGATACTCAAATTCAATTTTATTTTCCAACTTTATGCCATTTAGCAAAAGGTCATTTGGTTTGCTTGTTTCTGTTCTTTTCCAAATAAACATGCTGCAAGGGAAGACTCCCCTTATAAGCAGCGCCCAGAGTATCCAGAGATCTGGAATGGAGAATGATATGGCAGTTCTGCGTCCAGTGGTGAGGACGGGCCTGGAGAGCTGGTGAGCTTTACAGCGCCAGGCCAGGCCAGTTTTCAGGACAAAAGGTCTTTGAGCTGAGCTTTCAGGGATCAGATGTGACTGGAAGAGGACTTGGGGGTGCTCAGTTGTGCCCTAATGAAAAAGTATTTCTTTTACACCTTCTGGGTACTGAACTTGCTACACATCAAGGGGGCATAATAGGACTATGACACCTTGGCCCCGCCCAGAGATAAACAGCAGAGAGGGCTATCAGGGCCCCACAGCCAATGTGAATGTGTGTGGTGCAGACATTAAGTGCAGGTGACTGGAAGGGACTAATTGGCCTCATTTATTGAGCACTCAACTGTGTCAAGCATGGTGCTGAGCATTTTCTGTCTGCTGTGGATACATGGCCAGCCCAGAGCTTCCTGATCCAAGCATCTTCCTAGTGAATCCAGGCCATCTCTCTATTATGTTATTTTTACCCATCAATAATGTGTGAATCCGTTTCATTATATTTTTTTAACACTATGATTCAAGATCTGAGCAGGAGAAGGAGGGCTCCTATTTTGAAACAGTGGTCACTGCAAGCCCATGCCTCATGCCTTATTTTGAGCTCAATTATGGGCCATCTGAAGGCTGTTGTTGGTTTAATTTGTCCCGTAGGCAGCCTTGTTAGCATGAGGGAGAAAAGAGGACACGTTACATAAAATGGCATCAATGCACGTCAGGTTTTATGGGGTGTTTTGCTTTATCAAGCTAAACAGGCACAGAAGCAGGACTCGGAATTGGCTGTGAGTCACTGAACGACAGAGAGCTCTTTGGGGAACAGTGGATTGAGGTGAATCAGGATGGGTGTGTGAGGGGTCATTTAACCCAGATTTCTTTTCCATTGTGTACAAAGGCATTTAATTATGTGTGATGTGTGGCTGAGGTTTTATATCTGTGATGGCCTCACAAGACAAGAACACAGATTCCATCGGCCCCCTGTGAAAATGTTACCTATGTTAAAGGTGTATTTGGAAAAGTTCTGATTTATCCTCATCGGGTCTCCTTTCAATGATGTTTACTTCCTCTTTTGCTTTGCTAGTCCATTCCTCTTCATCTCTTTCAGATATACTCTTTACCCAGCTTTAGTTTTCCTTCTGTCAGAGTCTTTTGCGACGACCCTAGATTCTGTGGCTATTGAGAATGTGAAGAGAAGGTTCTGGAATTTTTGGCAGGAGGGTCAAGAAGGCAGGTTTCAATAGACACCAGTGCCAGAAGGTCCTTGTGGACACTCACCTCAGCCTTTGAGGAAGATGAATTTGCTGTGACAACTGATTTCCTTGCCCAGACCACCCTCCAAGGGCCTCTGACTATGCAGGAACCTGATGCAATGAGTCCCTGCTCATGCCCACCCAGCGAGGATTAAATTCTAAACCAGCACTCACTTGGCTCCCCATTGACTCATGGCACCCTCCCTGCAAACCTCCCCTCAATGCATTGTGCTCTGACTCTGCCTGTTTGCTTAGGCCAGTGGTCAGCAAACTGCTGCTCACGAGCTACATGCGGCTCTTCAGTGCGATTGAAACTTGGTGGCGCATGCGCAGAAGTCGGTATTATGTGGAAGAGCCACACTCAAGGGGCCAAAGAGCCACATATGGCTCGAGAGCCGCAGTTTGCCGACCACTGGCTTAGGCCATTCCTCCTGGGGGAATGACCGCTCCTCTGTGCCCTTTGAGTGCCAGGTCAAGAAC